CTGCAATCACTGGTGACATACACGATCTACAGTCAATGATGACATACACTATCTGCAGTCAACGGTGATATACACGATTTGCAGTCAATGAAGACATACACGATCTGCAGTCAATGGTGACATATACGATTTGCAGTCAATGATGACATACACGATCTGCAGTTAATGATGACATACACGACCTACAGTCAATGATGACATACACGATCTGCAGTCAATGGTGACATACACGATCTGCAGTCAATGATGACATACATGATCTGCAGTCAATGATGACAAACACGATCTGCAGTCACTGATGACATACGCGATCTGCAGTCAATGATGACATAAACGATCTGCAGTCAATGATGACATATACGATCTCCAGACAATGATGACATACGCGATCTGCAGTCAATGATGACATACACGATCTGCAGTCAATGGTGACAAACACGATTTGCAATCAATGAATACATACGTGATCTGCAGTCAATGGTGACATACACGATCTGCAGTCAATGATGACATACACGATCTGCAGTCAATGATGACATACATGATCTGCAGTCAATGATGACAAACACGATCTGCAGTCAATGATGACATACACGATCTGCAGTCAATGATGACATATACGATCTGCAGTCAATGATGACATATACGATCTGCAGTCAATGATGACATACACGATCTGCAGTCAATGGTGACAAACGACGATTTGCAATCAATGAATACATACATACGTGATCTGCAGTCAATGATGACATACACGATCTGCAGTCAATGATGACATACACGATCTGCAGTCAATGCACACTGATACATACGATTTGCAGTCAATGAATACATACGTGATCTGCAGTCAATGATGACATACACGATCTGTTGTCAATGATGTCATACACGATCTGCAGTCAATGGTGACATATACGATGAGACAATGATGACATACGACAATGATTTGCATTTGCAGTCAATGATGACATACACAATCTGCAGTCAACGATGACATATACGATCTGCAGTCAATGATGACATACACGATCTGCATGTCAATGGTGACATACACGATTTGCAGTCAATGGTGACATGCACGATCTGCAGTCAATGGTGACATACACGATCTGCAGTCAATGATGACATACACGATCTGCAGTCAATGATGACATACACGATCTGCAGTCAATGATGACATACACGATCTGCAGTCAATGATGACATACACGATCTGCAGTCAATGATGACATACACGATCTGCAGTCAATGATGACATACACGATTCTGCAGTCAATGATGACATACACGATCTGCAGTCAATGATGACATACACGATCTGCAGTCAATGATGACATACACGATTTGCAGTCAATGATGACATACACGATCTGCAGTCAATGATGACATACACGATCTGCAGTCATTGATGATACGTGCGACATTAATTGTCTACAGTGGTTTATCGACCCTCTAGAAAACCGTCAAAGTCAAGAATGACACCCAATGCACGTGTATGGGGCTATTGTTTTGTGCACGTGCATCCCATGCGTTATGTTTAGGGTTGGTGATAAAGAGAAATGGTGGTGCGCTCTGTCTGATGTCTGTCTTTGAAAAGTTTGTTAACGCTTATACTTCCTATCCAAATTGAATTTTCATGTTCCTCTTCTTCTTTTGAAGAGTATATATAGATTTGTCCTTAGAGGTCATGTACATTGTTCTTACCTCAAACGAACTTGTTACTCTCAGTGGAAACAGCAGTGGAACAAAGAGCATGGCGGCGATAATCGCCCCGAAACCCCCTAATGCCTGCAGCCAGAACTCCACACCTTCAGTGTAAACCTCAGCTGGTGTTCCAAGAATCAGAATGGCAGACATAAACGAAAGCAGAATTGAAACCGCCACTGGTATTACTCCAAGACTTCTGTCAGCCATCAGGAATTCCTTGGTCGTTTTTTGCTTTCCTGCCGTACATGCATAGTAAATTCCAATGACGGCCGACACGGCCAACATTCCAATAAAAAGAACATAGTCTAGTGCTTGGAGATAGTACCGGGCCATCTTGTAATAACCTATTGTCTTCTACAGATCTGGATTGCAAACTTCAGCTCAATTGTAAAACAGGCATCATATTGTACAACGACCATGGAATTCGTCTCAGACAATCATTTGTTTCAAAGGAACTAACGTTGTGTGAATGACCCTATACTGAATATGACCGAGCAACTTCTATGGTGTGTACATGTGATGGTATGTCTGTTATCTTGCTGATAACATCGTGTATCTGATGACACGCTGGACGAGACTGATGATACACTGATATCAACGTGATACAGGATACTGCTGTGTATCAATACACGGTGAAACCTGTACTGGACCAGTTTATGGACCCAGTATGTTTGAGTGAGTGAGTGAGTTTAGTTTTACGCCGCACTCAGCAATATTCTAGCTATATGGCGGCGGTCTGTATATATTCGAGTCTCGGCCAGGCAATCCAGTGATCAATAGCATGAACATCGATCCACGCACTTGGGACGTCATGTGTCAACGTAGTCAGCGAGCCTGATCACCCGATCCCGTTAGTCGCCTCTTACGACAAGCGTGGGTTACTGAAACCAATTCTAACCCGGATCTTCGCTGGTCTCTTAGCACGAACATCCATGTTCGCCGGGGTAACAACAATTACCATCTTATAACTTGTTTTTATGACGCGGCCCTGGATGATCTATCATCCGCTCACTGGGCAGAAGGGTTGGCTGTCGATATGGATCATAGAGCTCGATATTGATAAATTTCGTAAAAGTACCATTCAGCAAAAATGAGTAAAAATCAGAAAAAATCAACACATTTCATATCAGTGGTAGGCGGTGATATATGTATGCTTGGGTTACCAAAACACTCCGTCCTGAACATACTTGAATACTTTAATAGGAGGAACCTATGAACAAAGACCTACATTTGTGTAATTTCTGAATAAATTTATAAAATATTTCATCTCATTAGTTCATATACAATGTTATCGATTACACAATTTTGATATCAATATTTCCGGTTATCGATGTTTTAAGCCAGCCCCTCTGGTCAGACCTTGTTTCCAAATTTATATGATAAGGCACATACTTCTGTGGCAGCTCGCTAGTGCGGCCATCCTTCACTCCGGAATTACTGTCTTCCAGTCTACGCTTTTGAAATGAATTAGTGAGTGAGTATCGTCTTACGCCGTTATAGCAAACATTGTAACAATGCATTTCAGTGGAAAACCGGAAATTTACTTCGCTCGTTATAAAATGGAGGAACTCGAACTCGGACGTCAGAATCGTTTGACCAACTCCCCGTCCCCGTAATGGAATTCGTATTTCTGAACAAGTGTACATTCCACTAAGACCAATTCGAACACTTTACGACGCTTTTACCAGCATTCCAGCAATATCACGGCGTGGGACACCAGAAATGGGCTTTACGCATTGTACCCATGTGGGGAATCGAACCCGGGTCTTCGGCGTGACGAGCGAACGCTTTAACCACTTGGCTACCCCAACGCCCCTGAACACACTTCTGAATCCATGCAAGGATAGCGATCTGATCATATAGGACGATATATCGAGAGAATAGATTTCCTTATAAGTTGTTTGTTTAACCTAATGAATTATTTATGAAATCCAGGGTTTATCATTGTACTGTGTCATCCCAGAGAACCATTCATATGATTTCCAGCGCCGTTACGCCATGTAGAATCTGTTTGAGTGGATAATTTGTGACTCTTTATTCAGTGGTGGCGACTTTAGTTCTACATCTGCAAAGTAAGGGATCTTGTATTCAACAAGAGCGTTCAGATTATCATCATCATGACAATCACCATCATCATCATCATCATCATCATCATCATCATCATCATCATCATCATCATCATCATCATCATCATCATCATCATCGGGACATGTGTCCAGAAGAGGAAGTTAATGTTGCTCTATTTTCATGCTTCACACCTCGTCACGCCGAAGACCCGGGTTCGAATCCCCACATGGGTACATTGTGTGAAGCTCATTTCTGGTGTCCCCCGCCGTGATGTTGCTGGAATATTGCTGAAAGCGGCGTAAAACCAAACTCACTCACTCACTCACTCATGCTTCACACCAAGGGAGGACAAACGGCTGGTGGACCAAACCTGGCTGTGCTGAGTTGCACCTGAAGTGCGTGCCGGCGCTTTTCCACAAACCGTTTGTCACCCGTTTGTGAAGCGTGAAGATAGCACAATATTACATGACAGTTTCTCAAACAACTTTTTCCGTGATCGATCACAAAACGTCAGATTTCAGATCCTGTTGGGTACAGAGGTTTCAGGACTGCGTGTCTTATTTATGTTTGTACACCATTCATCATTCTGATTTGAACCCAAACGGACTGTACTTTTTATTAACGGGATGAAAACCCCTTAAAATACTTAATGCATAACCAAGAGAATTCACAGAATTTGTTGCACAATCAAAATTTAGTGAGTGAGTTTAGTTTACGCCGCACTATCCCGCATTATATGACAGTGGTCTGTAAGTAATCTATTCGGGACCAGACAATCCAGTGATCAACAGCATGAGCAACGATCTACGCAACTGGGGTACGATGACATGTGTCAACCAAGTCAGCGAGCCTGACCACCCGATCCTGTTAATCGTTTCTTATGAAAGGCATGGGTTACTGAAGATCAATTCTAGGCCGGATGTTCACGGGTAACATTCAGCATCAAAATGAGGTGTTGATTTCAAACACTTATAATACATGAAATCTACACTTCGTTCAAGACAGTATCCGGCTATTGGTAAAGGGAAACAACTCACCTCAAAACAGCTAGTGACCTTTAGCGAATAGAATAAAGGCACAAACACAACAGCTCCAAACAATATCCCAACACTGGCCATAACCCTGATGTAGAACTGCGTGCCATCGTTGTACATCTCCGCCGGGTAGCCTAACACGAAGATGGCGGATATAAACGACAACAGTATTGAAACAGCAACCGGAAGTACGGCCATGTTTCTGTCCCCCATTAGGTATTCAGAGGTTGTCTTTTGCTTGCCACCAGATACAGCATAATATATTCCAATGGCGCCGGAAAGAATCAGCATCGCCGCAAAAACGATGTAATCCCATACTCCCAAAACATTTGTTTCTTTCTCGAGGACCATTTTGAAACATAAACATACACAACCTGGTGATAACTACTATAGATATTTAATCAAGGGTCATATCGCGCTGGTATTTAATCAGTTGCTGCGCACATGACGTGGAGATATGTACACGGTGGTAATTAAGTCATCTGTCTGATATCACCAGGTGATATTCACGGGACGGTGTGGTGTACCCTCGTGGTTATTGCGTTCGCTTGTCACGCTGAAGAACCGGGTTCGACTCTGCCATGAGTACAATGTGTGAAACTCATTCCTGGAATTCTGAGTTGGTGAGATTAGTGTTACTCCGCTTTCAGCAATATTCCAGCAATATCACGGCAGGGGACACCAGAAATGGGCTTCACACATTGTACCCATGTGAGGAATCGAACCCGGTGTGACGAGCGAATGCTTAGGCTACCCCACCGCCCCTCCTAGAATCTGATGTTACGTTAATGATTTTAGCACTTACATACACAGATACCTTTGTGTGTGCGTACGCGGGTGCGTTATTGTACTGATCTGTTGATTTGACAGTACACGCCCACTGAAACACCATTCCGCAGTCTAACATGATACCCTAGATAAACACGTTATACTGTCGATCCGCCCGTGTAGTACCCCCTTAATGCCGAGCGCCAGGCAGGGTGACATCAATGACCATCTTTCAACGTATTTTGGTATGACCCGACCGGGATCGAACCACGAACCTGTCTGAATTGTTTTGTGCAGTTTCAGCGACCACTCGATAGTCTGGCATGTGTTGATATGGAATCAGTCTATTTTGATCGTTCAGTTAGAGGTTATCAAATCGCAACAAACCCTTGTGATTGTAACAGTCGATTTGGCATAAGCGCGGAAGCTATTCTTAATACAGCCGTCTTCTTCGTTATTCATTCTCACTGCGCGTTTGTCAATAATTTCAGTTTACTGCAGTTGATAAATATAAATAAATGATTGAACCACGGGTACATTCAATGTGCAGAATAAGATAGTGTTTCTCAAACAAGCATATCCATAGATAGAGGAATAGTTATCACAGGTACATTTAATGTACAAAATAAGATACTTACTCCCAAACAAATACTTCCATAAACAGAATAGTCATTATGATGAATCATTACCCGTTGGGGAAAAGTCACATGACTACAACCATCTTCCTAACAGGCAGCTTGGGTATTGTGCGGTATTATGTGGTATTGTGCGGTATTATGTGGCATTGTGCGGTATTATGCGGTATTGTGCGGTATTGTGTGGTATTGTGCGATATTGTGTGGTATTGTGCGGTATTATGTGTCATTGTGCGGTATTGTGTGGTATTGTGCGGTATTGTGTGGCATTGTGCGGTATTGTGCGGTATTGTGCGGTATTATGCGGTATTGTGCGGTATTGTGCGGTATTATGTGGCATTGTGCGGTATTGTGTGGTATGGTGCGGTATTGTGTGGTATTGTGCGATATTGTGTGGTATTGTGCGGTATTGTGTGGTCACGTGTGGTATTTAGCGGTATTGTGTGGTATTGTGCGGTATTGTGCGGTATCATGCAGTTTTGTGCAGTTTTGTGCGGTATTGTGTGGTATTGTGCAATATTGTGTGGTATCGTGCGGTATCATGCGATATTGTGCGGTATTGTGCGGTATTATGTGGTATTGTGCGTTATTGTGCGGTGTTTTGCGGTATTATGCGGTATTGTGTGGTTATGTGCGTTATTGTGTGGTATCGTGCGGTATTGAGCGGTATTGTGCGGTATAACCCTGAACATCTGTCATCGTATTCCGCTTGGACATACAAATGTTTATTTACCTATGTTCTCGAGAATATTCCAACACCACCGCCTGATAAGAATCGTGCCTGGACCAGACAATCTAGTGATTGACATTATGAGGAGCGATCCTCCCCGGGTGTTAGGGGTAGGTGGAAGGGGCAGGAGGTGGGAGGAGGGGGATGTACGTTGACGCTCCACCTAGCCCAGCAGATCTATTAAGTATCTCACAATTCCTAAAGGTTGCTGGGGACATACTGTAAGGCACCGTGTCAGTGGGTTATACCTGTTAGCCCATCAATTTGTTTGTTTCCTATTTCCAACCTCCGCCAGCATGTATTTGCAGTAATTGTCTATTTTTTATGGCTTTTTGCTTCAATTTTGTTTTGAAAAATATATAGATGAAAGAATATCAATATGACATGTCTGGTTTTTTTTAGTGTTCCGGGATATAATTATTTTTATCGCATGGTGGGAGAGAGTGAGTGAGTTTAGTTTTACGCTGCAGTAGCAATTTTCCAGCTATATGGCGGCGGTTTACGTCGCAGTCAGCAACATTCCAGCTATATGGCGGCGGTTTACGTCACAGTCAGCAACATTCCAGCTATATGGCGGTAGTGGAAAAGAGAGTGAGAGAGAGAGTGAGATAGAGAGTGAGAGAAAGAGTGAGAGAGAAAGAAAAAGTGAGTGAGAGAGAGAGAGAAAGAGTGAGAGAAAGAGTGCAAGAGAGAGAGAGTGAGCGAGAGAGTGAGCGAGAGAGAGAGAGTGAGAGAGAGTGTGTGAGAGAGAGATAGTGAGAGAGAAAGAGTGAGAAAGTGAGAGTGAGAGAGAGAGAGTGTGAGAGAGAGAGAGAGAGAGTGAAAGAGAGAGAGTATAAAGAAACCGTATACACTTGATCTTAAGTTCCATCACTTAAACAAAAATATCAAAAGCTAACTCGAACTGATTCCTGAATTACTGCCGTTATTATTTTGAAATTTAGGAGCACCCCCCCTCAATTTACAAACGATGTACCAGTTATTGTTGGTTGTAAAATATTAAATATTAGCAGTTGGTGACGCTGTATGTTATAAATATGTTAATCGAATCTGAAGATTGATCATGAAGCTAGATAAAGTTAATATTTACAAAGAAATCAAATGGAACATTGCTTTTAGGGACTGTTCATGATTTATTGCAGGGGGTGGGGGTTGGGGTTGGGGTTGATGATGATTTGAAGTGGGGAATCCCCGTAGGGGGTAATCAACTTTGTACACATGTACTAGGGATGTATGTCATTGATTTTGAACGGTCCCTTAGTTCGGTATAACCGTAGATTGATATACAGCAAGTGGCCTAGAGCAACAAGCAACTTTGTTATATCTGTCAGTTCGATATTTGAACGTGTTCGTTATAAACGTTGTTAACTGTATTTCAATCTAAATCTTTACCTACCTGAAAAGCGCTCGATGTATGGAGAGAGTAGAAGAGAGGAACAAATATAACAGATGCGGTGGCGCATCCAAGACTCCCAAACACTCTCATGTAAAACTGGGTTCCTTCTGTGTACATCTCCGCGGGGCTGCCCAGAACCAAGATGGCGGACATGAAGGAGAGAAGGATCGATATCGACACTGGGATAACTCCCATGCCACTACTCGCCAACAAAAATTCTTTCGTGCTTGTTTGTTTCCTTCCGACCACAGCATAATACACACCAATTGCCGCACTTATAAACAGCATGGCACCAAATACGGCATAGTCCCAACCCTCGAACTGTCGAACCGCGTCCGCCATGTTGAATGTCCAGGAAGACAAGACTGGGTGAAGGTGTTGGATGTTTGAGTGTTGGCGAACTAGTACTTGTCCTAACACTAGTACGTGGTAAAGCTGCTGGGAGGGTCTCCTTTATGATATACAGCTTCATACAGATAATATACTACTGTGAATATCAGCAAACAGTACCCTATAAACCATTGGCAGACAGACAAGAAGACAAGGTTTCAACTCTTTAAATTCTTATTCCTAAAAAAACGAAAAGGTATTTTTCAAACATGCTATGTACGACACTGTTCATGTACCATCAATTAAAAAAACAAACCAAAAAAAAACACACACACAAAAACGACAACAACAAAAACAACCAACAATGGCCTTTAGAAGCCATACACACACATCATTGGGTGGGGGTGTTATGGACGCCAACTTCTGTGATATGCGGAACACAATTTTTCGGAGTCAATTCTTACTCCTTCATCAGGTGAGTTTGTTGACATCCAAAATTCCCTTTTAATAATGCCATGGGCGTTATAAGAATTAGCGAAAGCTCTTCACGTCCTTAGTCCATTTTACAACATCGAGCTTCTCACCACCTTCCAGATCAACTATTCTCCGCAAGGTTTCCTTGAAACTTGTTGAAATACGTTGTATCTCTCAAGGCGAGAGTAGGTATAACATGGACAAAGTACTGTGACTATGTGTCCCAGTCCACCCAGCTGTGAATGGGTACCTCGTTAGGATGAGAAAGGCAAAATAACTCGGTGCGCCTAGTGGCTGCAAGAGTTGTATACTCCCCAGGGAGTTGAGACTGATAATGCGATGTGCCGTTGAGATTGACATCCAATGATCGAGGGAAAAAATACCAGCGCCTTGAGCATGCACTAGTTGCCTGGATATGTGCGCTATATAAATATCCTATAATAATAATAAAAAAAGTAATAGTTTGATGTTTAACGTCGCACTCAGCAATGCTCCAGCTATATGACGGCGGTCTGTAGATAACCGACCGGAGGATGGCTTAGCATCACACGGCGACCCCAGAACCATATCTTAGTGGAGTAGCCCAGTGGTTGAAGCCCAGTGGCCACGCCGAAGACCCGGGTTCGGTTCCCCACATGGGTACAATGTGTGAAGCCCATTTCTGGTGTCCCCCGTCGTGATATTGTTGGAATAGCGTAAAAGTCAAACTCACTCACTCACTTGTGTCTCGATCGCTTACTGTAAGGTTAACTTTCCACAACAACGTGAAGGGATTCAACAACAACAACAACAACAACAACAACAACAACGACGACAAGGACGACGACGACGACATCGACAACGATTTTTAGACAGACGTGACTTGAAAATGTGACTAAGTCCCGAATAAAATTATCAATCGTATACCATAATCAAACGAAAATATGTGTCTTGATGCCATTTCGGAACACACGTGGTATTGATCATGGTCATTTCAATTCCACCAATAAGTGATAATCTCCATCTCAACCCAAATGTGTTCAGTTGCTGACAATATATCCTGACGT